ACATTCGACGCCGGAAGGAAAAATAATTGATTACCGGGCCTATTTTTGTTTGAATGATCGTCAAGGTGAAAAAGAGAAAGGGGCGCGCGACGGCTGTAGAATTTTCGGGTCGCGGAACATTCTGTGATATTCCAGGCGACCTAGATTTCCAACCAATTGTGCGCATTTCGCAGGGTTTCTACGGCCACTCGTGTAATCCAGCCGACCGGCTGTACAGAAAATAACGTTGTTCATTAATCGGCATTTGAAGCCCCTCCCAGGATAATTTAGATCGAGTTATGAGCAACATGGGAATTCGGATCCGCATCGACTTCGCGTACAGTCCCTACTAAATTGCTGCACGTTGCTTTCTCGATGGCAGATTCGCGAGCATCGATTGCACAGTTTTGCTGAATTTATCGTCTTTCTCGAATTTTTACTGCCTACAGAATAACGTACAGGCGGATCCAGTAAGAATTAGCAAGTGAGTATCTCCGGTATTTTTGGAGGTACGAACAAGTTTTAATAACAAAAGTACTTCGGTATAAAGAGGCCTATAGTATGGCGGTGATAATTGTTTTGCTACTGGAAAAGTTTCGGTGATCTCGAAGTCATTCTTACATTTTAAATAGAATCATATATTTTTTTTATGCACATCAAACTTGAATTTGACGACGACGTCCGCCGCAAATGTAAACGTTTAACACTAGATTTACGGAGCATAAAAAGCCAGCTGTTTTATATTAGTTTATAAAAGTAACAATAAGACATTTATTCTGATTTTTAAGAAGTGTTATTGCAACATTTGTCGTAAGTAACATATATAAATTGAATAAATAACTCATAAATGTNAATTTTTACTGCCTACAGAATAACGTACAGGCGGATCCAGTAAGAATTAGCAAGTGAGTATCTCCGGTATTTTTGGAGGTACGAACAAGTTTTAATAACAAAAGTACTTCGGTATAAAGAGGCCTATAGTATGGCGGTGATAATTGTTTTGCTACTGGAAAAGTTTCGGTGATCTCGAAGTCATTCTTACATTTTAAATAGAATCATATATTTTTTTTATGCACATCAAACTTGAATTTGACGACGACGTCCGCCGCAAATGTAAACGTTTAACACTAGATTTACGGAGCATAAAAAGCCAGCTGTTTTATATTAGTTTATAAAAGTAACAATAAGACATTTATTCTGATTTTTAAGAAGTGTTATTGCAACATTTGTCGTAAGTAACATATATAAATTGAATAAATAACTCATAAATGTATCTTTACGATATGAATAATCGTAAATTAAAAAATTAGCGATCCGTCATTTTGACGGATTCCGTAAATCTAGTGATAAATCTATGATATTTACACATTCTTTTGTCTTTTCTTTTACCTAAAATTGTGTCATTATAGTTATAACGGATTATTGGAAAGTAAACAATATTGAAAAGGAATTTAAATAGTTCGTAAATTTTGTCCACAATAATTTCAATATTTTAATAGTTATAACGGATTATTGGAAAATAAACAATATTGAAAAGGAATTTAAACAGTTCGTAAATTTTGTCCACAATAATTTCAATCGTGTTCAGAACTTTTTCCTTGATTTCATTGTAACTTAAAAAGGGGGGATATTTTTTAATTTTGACATTTTTTCTATTACTTTCTTAATCTATTCTATTACAGATTATACAATGTGTTGAAAAGAAAGTGGTTCAAAACTTTAAGGATTTATAGCACTCAGCGGGTGGAGTAAAAAATATAGAATCGACGTGGATCCGATAGTCAATCCTTTCGACGGCAAATCGATTTTAAGTATCCGAGAATATTCGATAACGTGAGTGAGTTTCTCCGCCACGCATTGACTGCAAATAGGGAAGTTGATTCAGAAGTACGTTCGAGGTTGCCAACGCAAGATTGTTACACTAGCATCAACACGGATTCTTCCATAAATGCAAATTTAATAATACGAATATAAAACGAATTACGAAAATGAATAGAAAATACACGTTAAATCATTCGGAAGGAATACTTGCCGATGTACGTCTGCATTGCAACAGAGAGAAGACTGGAAAACTTATTCTGACAAAGAAAGTTTGTATTAAATTTGCATTTATGAAAGAATCCTTGTTGATGCTAGTCCAGTGCTCGGAATGCTCGGGCACGCAACACGAGACTCCACCTTCTGACTACCGCCGCGGCTCCTCGTCCCCCGCAGTGCTTCCATCGGCTCGCGATGACGCTGCGGTGGTAAGCCGATGGAAGCGCCGCGGGGAGCGAGACGGTGCGGCGGTAGTCAAGAGGTGGAGCCTCATGTTGCGTGCCTGAGCATTTCGAGCACTGATCTAAAGCATCGCGTGCTCGTTAGGGAGATCACGATAAGTACTTATAATTTCTTCAAATTTTTCTGACGATCAACGTGGAATTAACAGGCAGGTTATAACGCATTTCAGATATTTTCTTTCATAAAGACTGAAATAGCAATGGCGCCTTCTTTCAAAATTATTACATAAATTAATTTATTGAAAACAACGGAGAAGCTCTTCGGGACCTAATTTTGGATATACAGAGAACATACTATTTACGAGCTGCACGATGACATCAATTCATACTTGTTTGTCCGTATAATTAATGCAATTATCTTTATTATGTATTATCTAAGCGTCTTCATTAATAAGAAATAAAGTTATGAAAGCAACTGTGTAATATTTAGCTAATTAATTTTTTTAGTTTACATCGAACTAAACCGTTTTATTATTCATTAGAGATTAGGATTAGTAATTAGCAATTCAGAAGAATAGAAGTGCGAAGGTTAAAGAAAACAAGATATGAGCCAATAGTAGTTCAAACGAAGCACTACAAGTAAAGTTAATTAATTCTGTATGTATACAGGGTGGGGCATTTGAAATACTTTTTTTCAAAATCAATAATTTTTTTATAGGTGAAGTAGTAGAAGAATATGTTTTTCATTGTAGTTCATATGTTGCGACCTTGAGTGACCTTCATTTATAGGTCATTGTGTTCGTTTTGAAAGGCTTCGTCAGAATATGAATAAAACAATTATGTCATCTTATTTAAAAAAAAAAACAAGTTTAATTTTCATATGTCCTCTACGCCTTCGCCTATAAAAAGATTATTGACATTGTATAATGTGCCCCTCGAAATCAAACAACTTTTGTCCGACACTTTTTTGTTCTATCGTCAAAAACAAGCGAATTATTCAGGTGCCTCTTTTCAAATGCTCCACCACTGTATAATCGAACTATGTACAGCATAAATTTTAATACGATGAATGTTAATTCTTCATATAGCGCGAGAAATGTTCATTCACTGCGGGCTTCTCATTCATTCGCCAAATCACCTTATATCTCGATCTATCGTTTTAAATATAATTATATTACACGTACTTCACAAACAGTGTCATCTATTTGCACTTGCGAATAGAATTCAGTAAAATTACTTTTGAAATAGACTAGTACGAAATTTCCCTTCGAAATAGGATTACATGAATAGGAGCGTCGATATCGATTACTATAATACGCTAAAATATGTGGGCAGTTCTGTGGAATCCCACAGAACGCCGGGTTAATTGCACTGTCTCGATAAACGCATTCCCATTTGTCCGACAAGGAATGTACTAGATCTGGAGTAACCGATTTTGTCGAAACTTTGTACGCATATACAGAGTGTTACAAAAGTGTTCGAATCGAATGAAATGGGTAATTCCTGACATAGTTTAAGATAATTAAGAAAATAAGGTCATTTCTGAAATTCCAAGAATTAACAACATTTTTGGAATATTCTGGGGGATATGTGAAAAGAATTCAGTAATTTCATTACACGATAGATTTACGTCGATCATTTCAGAAGTCCTTTTAAATTCTACTAATTGCATTTCATTCAGATCGTTTAGTAACACGAATAGAACAACATTAAATAATGATCGCGAACATGGAGAAATAATTACTGCACTTAAATGGAATTTAATACGAGATTGAGTTCGTACCATAAAAAGTGCCATAATTACCCAACAGTCTTGTTACGTATCCTGAATCATTCGAGAGTGCAAAGGGGTTAAATTATCTATTATCTATCGCAAATTAATTTGGTCACATCTTGCGAGATCATGTTGTGAGTCTTTTTGTGAAAGAAAATGTTTCAGTCTTCACGAAAATTCTCACTCTTATAGCAAATGGTAATTAACTATCTTCGTGGCTAGATTAATTACGAATATTACGCTTGCAGAAAGAAATTGAAACGTGTACTTCATTTCTGAGCGGATACAGTAATGTCTCTCTTATTGACGCTCAAATTGTCCATTTTAGTGCACAATCTTAGCGTCAGTTAGGGAGACATTACTCTCTGTATTGCCTTCCGCGTTATAAATATTCTTTTGATGGACTTTGGTTTTACGATGGCAAGAACACTTATACAACACCCTAGACACAACATCCTAAGAGCACCCTATACAGGATGTCCTAAAATTTTTGTATTTCCGGGAACTGAAAGGTTCATGAGATAGTAACTTTTTCCTTAGCGAAAATGCGATCCGCGGCTTCGTTTACGAGTTATTAACGAAAAACAGTGACCAATGAGAGGTGAGGACCAGCTGGCGCGTGGCGGCCGAGCCAATGAACGGAACTGGGCTCCGTATGCTCGTTGGCTCAGCCGCCTCGTCTCGCGCTAGCCGAGCTCGCTTCTCATTGGTCAGTGTTTTTCGTTAATAACTCGTTAACGGTGCCTCGGAGAACATTTTTGTAAAGGAGAAAGTTACTTCAAATGATCGCAGGAACCCCATATTTTCCGGAAATACCATAATTTTGAGACACCCTGTATATTGTAGATGCGCCGATAGGCTGCCGTAGTGTATTTAATCCAACGCCCTGTATATTGGTAAACAGAAGAACGAATTCTATAGATGTATAAAGTTTCAACAATATCGGTGACCCCAAGGCATTGCACTCTCTTTGCAGACGTAAGAAAAAGATCAATGTGGTTTCAAAGATGGTTAGAGTCCTCACTCACCTCTTAACGATTCTCTCGGCGCCATCGTCGAGCAGCCTGCTTCCGGTGTCCTTGAAAGCGGCCCTCTTCTTGTCCGTGACGGCGGCTTCCACCAAGATCGTGAGTTCCGGCTGGTCCGGTTGCGCCAGGCTTCCGATCTTGATTCCATCCCGACTCTTCTGCCTGGCCAGACTCCTAAGGCCCCCCCTCTTCGATCCCTCGCTGCCAGTCCTGCTCAGTTTCCTCTCCTTCCTCTCCACCTCCACCGACTTGCCGATCCCTTCCCCGACGTCCTGGACCTTCGACAAGTCCAACAAAATCTCCGTCTTGATGTTCCTCTCGGACACCTTGTTCTCCTCCTCCGCAGGGTCCACCAGCGTGTTCTCCGAGGTGGACTTCGCCAGGCTGACCAGCTGCAGGTGCGAAGTGTCCACCGTTTCCGGGGAAGGCACTCGGCCGCTTCTCACCCTAATCGAGTCCAAGAGCACAACCACTTCCGGCGGAGAGTGCACCTCCACCCTGGCGACAGGTTCTTCGAGCCTGCTGGCCGCGACCTCCTCGGCGGTGATGATCCTAGCCTTGACCAGCTGCACCTCCGGCAGAATGCCCGAGATCTCGCTAGGCTCCTCGAAGAAGATCTCCTCGACGTTCTCCTGTATCCTGACCTCCTTCTTCGCCTCGTCCAGCAGAGACTCCCTCGACGACTCCCTGGAGAACGTCCTCTTTCTCATCGAGCTCCTGCGCTTCGGCGGAGCCTCCGTTTCCGGTGTCAGGCCGATCCTCGGCTCCGCAGCCGCCACCTGAAGCCGATCGTAGCTCGTAAGCCTCTCCGATATTACAGTGGACGGCGACTTCATCGAGTCTTCGGGAGTACTCTTGACTTCCTCCGCTCGTTGGCTACCTCTGTCGTCAACTCCTTCGGCCGGACGGGCCTTCTCCAACTCGTTCAAACTGGACGGACGCACTCGTTGCTCCTTCGTCTCTTGGACGACGATTTCCTGGCTGTAGTGGTCCGTGAAGGTCAAAATGTTGTGTCTCGACAGGAACTCCGTGACCCTCTCGATACATTCTTGCTCCTTCTGCAACTTTCTGTGCTCCTTCGATCTCGACACCTCCTCCAGGCTTTTCTTCCTCTTCGAGACCTCCGGTGTAACCGAGTCCGGAACCCGTCTGGAGTCTTCGTCGCCTTCTTCCATCTCGTCGAGCTTCAGCGTCGCGGTTCTGTCGTCGGAATCGGTGCTCTGTCTCTTGACGATCTTCTGCCTCGCAACTTTCTCAGGCTCTTCGCGCGTCGTCGGCGACTCCTGCAACGGGGGCATCTTCTCCACAGTGTCCATGCGAGTCGACTCTCTCCTCCTCTCAAGGTCGGGCCGCTTTTTGACTTGCGGCTCGGGTTGCTTCTCCACCGACGGCTTCTCGTCCGACGGTTCTGGCTTTAATTTCACTTTCGGCGCTACCTTTTCTACCCCTGCCGTGACGACGTGGCTGTACCTCGCGGCTATCTTCATGTCCTGGGACGTTGGGCTTATGTCCGCGATGATCACGTCCTCCAGAGAACTGCTGCTGGCTGGGTAGAACTCGTGAACGTCGACTTCCACTGTTTCCAAGGGTTTCTGCACTAGAGGAAGCACTCGACGCCGCTCAGCGGGACTGATCACAGGCGTCAATGGCGACGCGTCCTTCCAGTTGTCCTCATCCTCGTCGTCGGATTCCGGTTTGTCCATAGACAGCTCTGTTACACCTGCGGTTTTAGGGAATAGTGAGAAACGTGCTACTTTACGTTCATCAGGGATTTCGGAATGTTTTCATGCACTCTTTTCGTCTTCTACCAACCCTTTGCATTCGAAGCTATTTTAACTTTAAATCCACAAAATAGAGTAATTTCTCCCTAATTCGAATTGAAATTGAGCACAAAAATGGACAATTTGGGGAGAGGAGATACGATTGTTCGAGCCATGCGACTCGTTTTTATAGTTGTTCACGAAACTAGCAAACAGCAACCTTCAGATATAAATGGATCGCTACCTCTAGATATAAAATTGCAATTTTTCGGAAGAATTGAATTTACACTGAAATGCGAAGTAAGAGTTGAACATCGCGATGCATAATCTTCCTCGATTATGAAGGAGAAACGACGATACTTTAACTCTATTGTGGCTAAACATAAAATAAATCGTATTCTATAAATAATAATCGTATTTCCTTTTCCCAAATTACAATATATTTTTGTGTGAAAATCTCAGCGCGAATTAGGGAAAAATTACTGTAGTTTCTCCGACCTACGTTAATTTTGTACGACTCGCAATTAGTGCTTTTTATGCATATAAAATTGAGTCTCGTGACTGTCACAATTACATTTTTAACCATTTTTCTAAATATACAAAAATTGCACAATGCAAAAGTTACTTTGAAACGTGACGTAACAATTTTTTGCGGTACCTTAGAGGCGCCGCTCGGATGGAAATGGTTAAATTAATCATCTGGAGTTCGGTGAAACTTCGAAGTCAGAAACTGATTTATCGTCTTTTTTTTAAATCTAAATCTATTTTTAGACAGAACGTGACAAAAATATACTGTTTTGTTGTCTCTTGTTCTCAATTAAAGACGTTGTGGATTGTCATTTTCGATTCTTATTTTACACGTCGAGGTAATTTCAATTTCTATTTAAATTGTCAATTTGTTGTTAAATCATATCTAGAGGTTAAGATTTGCTGTTTGCGATTTATACAAATTTGTTCGCAATCATATACAAAAATTTGGGATTATATATATAATTTTGGGACACCCTGTATAATATATATAATATGATACATATATATATTATATATATATTATATATATTATACAGGGTGTTCCAAAATTATGATACTTCCGGGAAATGAGAGGTTCCTGAGGTTGTTTGAAGTAACTTTTTTCTCAGCGAAAATGCAATCCGCGGCTTTGTTTACGAGTTATTAACGGAAAACAGTGACCAGTAGGAGGCGAGCTTGGCTGGCGCGCGGCGGCGAAGCCAACGAGCGCACGGAGCTCGATTCCGCTCGTTGGCTCGGTCGCCAAGCGCCGAGCGAACTCGCCCCTCATTGGTCAGTGTTTTTCATGAATAATTCGTTAACGATGCCTCGGAGAAAATTTTTGTAAAGGGAAAAGTTGCTTCAAATCACCTCAGAAATCCCTCACTTCTCGGAAACATCATAATTTTGGGACACCCTGTATATTATAATATATATTATAGATAGTATATATTACATATATATTATGTTATATACAAATATTGTATATTAATTCTGTGCTCCTGGATTGACGCTTTAGCTGCGGAAAATTGATTAAAAGGGTACATTTTTCAGATTTATTCTAAAATTGATCAAAAAATTAGCGTCGTCATTTCGGAATGAATGTGGTGACCGTTTATAACGTATTATCATTCTGTATTGAAGGGGAGACTAATTTGGAGAATCATTGAAAATTAGTATAGTATACCTGATCTGGAGGAGAGGAAGTCCTCGAGCTCGGCTGCGTGATCTGTCGTTTCGCTTTCGTTCGGGAAGCTTTTGCTGCGTCTTACGGGACAAATCGGCGGCACCCTCTACCGTGTGATCGGCCATCGGGACATACAAACAAAATCGAGAGAAATCAAGCAATTAATCCCATCGTCAAGCATACCGTCTCTGTGGCAGTAGAGAAAGGTAGAGCGATTTACGCGGGAAAGAAAAGCAGTCTCAAATTGTGCTACTTTGTTGAAAATGCAATTATTTACTCGAAGCGTAATTCTTCTTGTGAAACGACAGATTCGAAGACAGAGATACTGTTAATGACACAAACTCGGGATTAGGTTCGTCAGAATGTATCTGGCGATAAATATACATCAGTCTCTTTGCAATTCATGAACAATATAAAATCATATCGTTAATCGTAATTACACGGAAAAGGCAAAAATTCTAGTTCATATCAATGTTTGTAAATTAATATGTCTAAAACTTTACAATTAGACATTGGAAAATTGTAATACATTGTGATACTGTGGAGAAAGTATTACTGCAAGTGAAACACTAGATTTTTATCAATGACAACAGAAATACTTTTTAACATAGTAATTATTCTATTAATTGAGAATTTATAAATAATAATCATTATCAATTATATTAACAAGTAATCTTTTATTTTATAATTCTTTTCTTAATTTTTATATTATATTGATATTGTTCTTAATTTTTCGAAGCTTTCTCTGCAATGAATAATTTTCACTCGAAAGATTGTTAAGTTCATAGAAATAACAACAAACATAAAATAAAGTTTGCGAAAAAGTAAATGCTGGAAAATGGCAAAAAGAAAATAGATCATTTACTATCAGATATGACCTCGAAACAAACAATAAAAATCGATTTGTTGTATCGATCGTTACACGTAAATGTCATTAATAACATTTTGCGCAAACATTTGATATCAAAAAATGTTTATACCACGTTTTGCAACATACATTGTCCTCAGTCTGACGAAGAATTAGAAAGGAGAAATGGTTCGCCTATGGTCAGGCATACAGTCTGAAATGTCAAAACGTTTCCAGCGAAAATTCAAATCAAATTATATCATTAATATTTCACCGATTTTATTAATAAATTTCTCGCATTAGGAGATTAATCATTCGCAGCAACTCTGTCCAAAAGAGAGGAATAAGAATGAGTAAAATTGGAAATTAGAGTAGACACAGTTTCAAATATTACATAGAGTGTATGTAAAACGAAACAACAATTTCAAACATCTATGAAATAATAGTGGACGACTAATATTTACATTACTATGTTCCATATATTGTTCGCACTCGTACATTTCCTTTGTCTTTCTTACAATTAAATCAATAATCTAATCAAGAGGATCGATCGATTTTTACAGCTTACGCGGAACGTTCTGTCCATTACTTCGAAATGTGTATTTTTTAATGTACTTCACAAAGTTTAAAAATGGCCATGTACTTAACACGGAGCGACAATACAAACGATTTTAAATTGCGTACGCTGGGAAGTACGGCAATTTGCTTGATCACAAATGTATACTGCCAAAGCATTAGATCGGGAAATACTTTACACGCTGCCTTCACCACTAGCGACAAACAATAATGTCTACATAATTAAATTCGATGGGTGAAAATTCGACAAATTTGAATTTGAGCTGCTAATTTGAGCTGCTAATTACGGTACGATTACTTTGAATATTTAGGTCGGTGAGAACGTTTCAGCACGTTGAAAATATACCAGTTTACTGTAATTACAAATAGCCCTGGCCAGAGCAATCCCTTTCATCTATCGTTATTCGAAAATTGTAACATTTGATATAACATGAAAATGGAAGAGCTTAAAAATGAACAAAAAAGGAAAAAGTTCACAAATACCAAAATTCAAATAGTCGAAAATTGTTCAATCCGATAATATAAAACACTGGAGAAGATAAACACTTAAAGGTTCAAAAATTTCATCGAACACCTTGATGCTTCAAAAATTGTAAAAATTCATGTGTCATAAAAATTGAGGAGTTCAAAAACGAAAAAATCCAAAAGCCTGGCGATAGAAACATTCAAAGGGACAAACACATAAAGGTTTGAGTACTTCTTTTGATTTCTTGACGCACGAGAAATTGTAGATTTTTAAGTATCGTAAAAATTGAAGAGCTTGCGAATGTTTGCATTTAAATGCTTCGAAATTTGAAGAGCTTGAAAACGTTTCAATTTGGAGAGCTCGAAAACAATTAGATCTTGATAATTTGAGAATTCGGCACGAACACTGACGAAGTTGGACACCTAAAAGTTTGGAAGAAAACATATATAAAAATTCGGCAACTCGGTGACCCGAGAATATTGTACAGGTTGACGAATTAAAAATCGGAGAAATCAGAAGCTATAGAATATACGGTAATTCGTGAATTTGAAAGTACACAAGCTCGAAAACCTGCGAAATTACTGGTGGGAAATTAAAAGGCAAATGGTTCAGCGGTACAACAGATCTACTTGAAAGGTATACTAGTCAAATTTCACTCTCACGTCTATAATTCACGGGCTCGATCATCGCAGATATACCTTCGTCTTGATGGAAATCGATAGTTCGTGTATAATATAAAACAAGTAAGCGTTATTCTCATTAGACAACAAGCGTTCCACGAGTCGTATGTCTTAATTGTGCATCCTCACCTTTCCTTTCCGAATGCTTCGATCCCGTTCGATCTTTACACGTCAATCGTACCCGTCAAGTGACGAATAAAAAATCGTCGATCTACGTTCTCGCATTAATAAAATTAGTCCCAACCAGGACAGAAAGACGAAACAGTCTTCACACACATCGATCACCAAAACCTCTCGAAAGGCTGCACTTCAACGGGAGCGCCTTGCAAAACAATGTCGCAGAATTTCCACGAGCGTAAATCGCATACAGAATGTTAAAAGAAAAAAAACAACAGGACCCACGATCACAGTATTCCTTCTTCTTTAACACCCTGTATACTGCATCGTTGTAGATCCTCGCATTAAAGTCTCCCGTTTCATCGAACCAACGTATCGTTTCGCTTGAAACGAACTTGAAAACTTACCTATTACTTTCAAATACATCCTTCGATGTAAAAATTCAAGTTCGGAACCGTTACCGGCAAAATCTGACAAAGCAACAGCCACGGTTTGTCCCAAAAATATTCAGCTTCATACGGACACAACAATTTCTCGTTTTTCATTGATTGTTCTTGTTCATCAATTATGATTAATATTTTTCATAGACCATAGCGTTCACAATACGAAGACTGCGGAGATGCCGCGTAGCGATTCTTCAAGATGGCGGCGAAGGAAAAAGCCGAGACATGTTCGTGAGAATCGTCAGACAATTATTTTGAATTGAAAATATTTAGTAATTTATTCATCGCATCAATCTTCTACAGTCTGAATTGTTTATACGTATTCGAAATAATTTATGTAACCTATAACCAGCGAATATCAATAGCAAGATATAAACCAACAAAGAATTTGTAATTTTTAACAAAATACTTTATTACGCTATAGCTAAAAGTGAAGTTACGTTAAAACAGTGAAAAATCATTGTTAAGTGACTTCAGTCACATAAGTGTCAATGAGCGTTTATAAAATATTACGAAGGTACCGGAGAACTTGAATTTCTTAAGAAAAATGTACAAATTGAATAGAAAAACACGTGTCGCTCGACAAAATAATTTAAAATTAAATATTAATTGAAAATTATTTATTTATGTATTTATGAAAATTATTATGTATTTATGAAAATTGTCGTTTCGAGTGAAATTTTGCGCCACTCCTTTCGTATTATTTATACTCTTTTCTTTTTAATATCGCAAGAATTCGAATAAAAATTAAACCAAAAATATCGTTTTTGGTACAAAACTCGCCATCTCGAAAGAGATGCTACCCACAGCCGTTCAAAAAATGGCGCTGCAGTCTACGATCGTGGTGAACACCGTGTTCGTTGAAAAAAGTTATGGTTTCTCGAACAATTAACAACAAGAAGCGGGAGAACTGCTGGCGCATTCGAAGCACGACGAACGTTTGCCACAAACCGTGATACACGAAAATAGAAAAATGAAACAACGGCTGGGAACGGTGAGAGGGTTTATACGAAGAACACGTTTAGGCAAAAGAAAAAACACTCATGTATAATATTACATCATGATTGGTCATTGCTTTCGGATATGAATATCATTGTTATTATTAAAACAGTCGTACGACGAGCACATTCGTGTATTATGTGTGTGTGTGTGTGTGTTTCTTTTTTGTTGTGTGTATATTATTATTTAATCGAATATCATTCTTTTTTTTATGCTTTTCGTTTGTTTTGTTTCTTTGGTCGATTAACTGCGGCAAATTGATCGAACTTGCTTCGCAAACGGTCCCGGTCTGGACGATTTAAGCATTGCCCTGAAAAATGAAAAATAACATTGCCGAATTAGTTTGGCGGGAACGCGTGGTGCACGCCGGCGATATTTAAAGAGACAGACAGACAGACAGACAGATAACAACAACAACAACAACAATAACAACAACGACAACAAAAATAGAAAAAAAAGAGACAAGAGACAATGAAGGAATAACGCCTACGGAATCGTGATCGGCCGTACGCATTCCATCGCGGAGCATTCCCTCTAACAATCATTTTTTTTTCTTTGCTACTAGAAAACAGAAGCGCGCTAACGTGTTGAAACGCTAGAGATGCTTTCGTGTCTGACGTGAATCGTTTAGCAGAAACGGGGAATAAGCCTGTACGCAAGTGTTAATCGCGTCGCTGCGATCAATATTGTTATTATTAACGATATTGTCGTACGTGGCGTGTTTATTTCGACTAGAAACACTGGAATACTTCGAAGAATATAGGTGACGAACGTTATCTGTCCCGACAGTGCTATCGATTGTCCGAATCTTTAGGACAAAACATTCACACCTGTCGAAAACATACTTTTCGATAAGTATAATTATCAAACTGTAATCACGTTATGGATTGTTGTGGATAGACAAAAATTATTATTATTATTACTATTATTATGAAAAATCATCTTAAAGAGGAGATGTTGAAAAGTTAATCTTATTCC